AACAATTTGATTATAGTTGATTAATAGTGGTTTATGTCATGGAACAAATTATCATGTTCAATCACTATTTTATTGCAAAATACAACTCTCAATGTAAACTTTTGGCTGTTCATGAAGGATGAAATTAAATCAGATATAACAAATATTATTATGATTAGGAATTAACTAATATTTTTTATACAATTTATTAATTTTGTTTGCACAGTTTCTTATACCTTGTTCTGTAAAAAGGATGATTCCAAACAATACACTACTTAAAAAAAAAAAACATTTTTCAAGGAAAGGGATGATTTTACAATTCATATGAGAAAATCTTAAGTTACGATTCCCTATTTATAAATTGATAGGTTGTTATGAAACTAAAATTTGGTGAATTCATTCTTTTTACAGAACAACGATGACATATTTTCTTTTAGTAAATATAGCATACTCAGTCAGTATGCTAAATTTATTCTATTTAAATAACTATTTAAGGATTGAATCCTTGTTAACTGAGTATATTATTGAATAAAATTAAAAAATAACAGGGAATAGAGGGATTTCGCTAAGGGAATTGATGTAATACTTATTAAAATATTCTTTATTTATTTTGTATTAATTACAAGTATTAAATAACATGAGTAATTGCAATACCAATAATTAAATTATTACAATAACAATTACAGAAATAATTACAATAATGAATTCAAAAGTTAAGAAGGAAAGTTCTTGTCCAGAATGGAGAGTTTTTGTCGAGACTTCAAATCATTTTTAAACACTTCGGGACTTCAAAATAAATAAACACTTTTTTTGACTGCACATCCTGACCATTTTTATTTACAATTTACAATTTCAACAATCAATTGTATATCCATCTCTAAAACATAAAAAATAAATAACAACAATAGTTTCTATAATGATTACAAGAATTAAATGACAAGAATAATTAAATGTAATGGAAAATTACAACTATACGACATGAAAAATTGTAATGACTTTTCATTAAATGAATTTATCTTTTGATTCTGCCTTCATTATCTTCTAGTTCTTTAGCTATATTGAAAAGTATACAGTCTCATTCTGGTGTCGGAGGTGTATTGCTAGTTTCTCTGACTGGTGGTGGTTTCAGTTCCTCTTATTAAGTATACATGGGTAAAGACTGCATGCCCCCAATTCGGAGTCTTGAAAATATTAATTTTTCTGATGTGGATTCAACTGAAGAAATTTTCCAACGCAGAATATCTTGTTTCATTTGTGATTTGCTTGTCAATGGTTTCATTCGCATTTATGCCAGCTTTTTCCAAAGATATCTCCAATCAGCAGAGTATTTTATCATTTCTCAGCATTTTCTTCAAGAAGGTAGTAGAAACCATCTAAATACCTAAAAAAAAAAATGATATATATATATGAGTTATTGTTTCGTCACAATTAAATTGTTATATTAGATAAATTTTTAAAAACTATATAGTCTTTGTAAATTAATACATATAAATAATTTGTTATTGTATACAAATGCTTTTTTAAAATGCATTTTTGTATGAAACAGCATTGAACCCAGTACATGTCCAGTTAGGCTTATTTTAAATTATCTTAAAAAACATTTTAATTTAAATATTTTTTTTTTTAACTTTTATTATGATATTTACAACTGTATTAGTATGAATACATCTAGTAAATTTGTACAGAGAAATATTATTACATGAAACACTCTTGTTGAGAAACTACCCACTGGTAGCACTCTAATAATTTATCTACATGAGAAGATCACGAGGCCATCTTCTTTTCAGACGCCTCGGAGGATTATCAGGAATCGAAGAGGAAGCAAGGTTAGAAACAAGAGGATTCGGATGGTTATGAAGTTTATTATGGAAGGATAGGTATCTGGATTTGGCCAAATCGGAAACATATGGAACATTGAGGTCTTTATGGATTATTTTATTAGTGACAAAGTAAGGAGCATTGAGGATTTTACGAAGGATTTTGGATTGTAAGGATTGGATGCGAGAGGAATTCGATTGTTTAAATTTAAATATTATTTTGTAAATAATAAATATAATTATAACTGAAGATTTTCAAGTCATCTATTATTATTTATTTGAGAAGAAGTTTGCCGGGGATGTGGTAAAATTAAATTCTATATATTATAATAGTATTTTACTGGATATGCCTGTATGATATTATTTAATTTGTCTGCACATTATATAGTTTAGTCCGGTTTTTACATAATATCTAATGCTTATTTGCATTAAGTTTACACTTCATACAATATTTATGGGATTGACAACTAACACATATAAAGTAATTATGTATAAATAGGATTTTTATTCAATAAATTGTTGTATCATTTTGGCCATTTTTATTTCAATTTTGCATTGCCTAGTTCCAATTACTACCAGAAAGTTAGTTATCAACACTTTACTTCATTTTTAAGATTTGTTTTCTAGTTATTAGACATTTTTAAATAGGATATTCTACATAGTTGGACAAATCAACTTTCTTAGTGTTCTAGACTTCTTAGATGGATTGCCTATGGTGGATGATTACTTGCTGATCGGTCACAATATTCCTGCTTATGATGAAAAGTTCCTTAATCATCCAACATACACAATCCATCAGAGAGATCTTGAACATTAAGAAAGTTGATTTGTTCAACAGTCATGAATATTCTACTTAAAATTTTCTAATAACCAGAAAATTAATCCTTAAAATATAAAGAACACTGTGAATAAATAACTTTATGCTTTTCATTGGAACAATAAAATGGAAAATTATAATATAAAAATTATAATTATAATAGTTTATTATGATGTATAGTTGGTTGACAGTGATATAATATGAGAAGAAGTTGGTTGAAGAGTAGGTGGGAGAAGGGGGGTGCGGTCAAATAAATACTAACTTTTTAAAAAATAATATTTTTAATTGTTTTGCAGACGTTTCAATCCACCTTGCATGTCTTCATCAGGGTGTTGCATCAGGAACTGCAGGAAAGGTAGACTGGCTAACTGCTTCCTGCAGTGGCTGATTCAATACCCTAATGAAGACCTGCAAGGTAGGACAAAGTGTCAGCAAAACAATTGAAAATACTATATTTTAAAATTTAGTATTTATTTGATCGCACCCCCCAGACCAACTCCTTCTCATAACAGTTTATTGAATAAAAACTCTTTTTATTCATAATTACTTTATATGTGTTTATTCCACACTCCATAAATATTATTGAAGTATAAAATTAATGTAAAAAAATTCATTAATGTCATTTTTATTTCAATTTTGCATTGCCCACCATTTGACAAAGGTGACCAAACCATTTCAAATCTATCACAGTACAATTAAATGAACCAATTATTTTATCTGCATCACCGTACACTAATTATATTTATCCGATCATTTTTTCAACTTATCGGTTTTAATTCTTATATCTTTGTATTCGGCGATTTTATTATTCCATAACTCGGAAGAATTATGGTAATCATCAATAAAATACACAGTTTTTTCGTTCGTCCACTCCATGTTGTCCGCAACAAGGCAAATCCGAGGGCTGTCGGCTAAATGGTGACACTGTTGACACGACGAATCATGTAGAGAGATTACGCATTCGACGGGCAACAACGGTCAACTTGTAGCATGCGGCAAGGAGACATATTTTTTGTCGCTTTGTGCTCCTTCTATGGAGGGACTGTGTGTAGCATGAGTCAATGCTGCATGTCACCTCAGTGGAATTCCGCCTTTGAATACGCAGTTTTGTATGACTTCTCGTTTTTGAGCCAGACTGTTCACACGCCAGCACACACGCTCGCACACACACCAACCATTTTGTGGGACATGGTTATTTCGACTCAGAGGCCCTCAAAACGTGTATTTATGTTGAAAACTCAAATTCGAAAGTTTTCAAGATCGCAATACCAACCCTTTCTATATATTACATATACAGGTAAGTGAAAGTTAAAATCTTTTACCGATCTAACATGCTTATCTTTTTGTATATTACCTATTTTAATTAGGAAACAGATAAAAATAAGGTATGTTATGATAAAGGTTGGTTATGGTGTGGTCAAGAGAGAAAAACCGAAAGAAAGGAGAAATTCCTCCTCACAATTCAAAAGCTAGTTAAAGAGGATTTAATATGAAGTGACTTGAAGAATTACAGCTGCGGGCTGAATTTTCGAAGCTGTTTCCTGAACAGGCAAATTGCCGAAAAGAATATGCTACCGGCTTTTTGGAGTCCAAGAAACATAAATAAAGAATACAAGCGTTAGAAGTGAGATTTCTTCGACACGTAACACCACTATCAGGTCGAACCCCAATGTTAGGACAGATAATGATGTAATAAAGGAGAATAAACAAAGATTGGGATAATGAGGGGGCCAAAACAGGTCTATTCTTTTTTCCTAATTAAACGGAAACTGAATTGCAGTTTTTTTGTTTTGTTTTTTAAAGAACTTTAAAAATAATTCCTGGAACCAAAATGGACTTAACAAGTGACCAATTGAATGGAGGTTCTTGATTGATAACTTGAATAACAGTTATTTCTTTGGAACTGGATTGGTTGTATCTGGTACCATAAAGTACCTCTTTGTCATCGGTACTAACCAAGCCGATGGTTAGCAGAAAGTAAATGCCACATAACGATCGTTCTGTAGAAAAGAATAATTTTGTAACAATGTTAATTACTAATACGTGTAGAAATATGTTTGTAAAGAACGAAAAGTCATAATAGTTTTCAAATTTAACCCAAACATATCTTTATTCTTAAAATAAAATAGTTAATCGTTAATATCTATTGAATCGATTTTAATGTCATGTTGATTTTATTCATTGAAGTATTAAATATTTTACTTGATGTAATAATAATATTTTTCATCTATAGATAAAAAATAATTGACTAAGTAGTTTAAATATTTATTTTATAAAATTTGAATAATTTCATTAGAAATCAGCACAGTAGGATGCACAGACTTTATGATCGTTGTATGTTTAGGTCATTACTTACCTATCGATAGATCGAAGTAAATGATATATTTTGAAACTTAAGCTTTAAGTAAGATGAAAGGAGATACTCTGGAAATACATGTACAAAGTGGAATTTGAACTGTTATGTTATAAGTGTTAACTATGTAAATGATACAAAATTGTTTTTACTATGAAGTACCTCAGATTATTGAAGAAGAACTTGGAAATTGGTAATTGTTGTATGAATGTGAATTCTCTTTGTAAGATTCTTGTTATTCATTATGCAATGTTTACTATTGCAAACTCAAATTAACAGTTTTAAATTTGTAGGTACCTCTAATAATTATCATTTTGAAGTTTTATTTTATCATATATCACAACAGTTAATTATTCTACCTTAGTGCCTTATTTTTTTCATTCCTTGTTTTAAGCTTTTAATTTTAGCTTAATTGTTAGCATACCTAGGGGCTGCGGAGTATTAATGTTAACTATCATATACTTATTTGTTTTTTTAAGAATTAAGTTATCGAATATAACTGACTATTTAGGAACATTTCATTAGTTATTGCAATGCTTCTATTTTATTCTGTTTATTACATTTGCAGTCTTTAAATCCCTCTAGGACAAAAAAAAAAAAAGAAAAAGATTAAAACTATTATATCTTATTTCAAACTCAATTTTCAATGGATATATGGTTATGCATGTTGGATACAATTTTTCTTGATATGAATTATAACAATTTTTTGTTAAATTAATTTTACTATTATTAGAAATGTCATATTTTTTCTCTAATGTTTTTATATATTATGTTCTTAATTTACTTGACTTATCCTAACACTTGGTTTGTTTTGCCATTTCGACAGTGTTTAATTTAGGAATATATTAATATTCAAATTTAGAAGTGTTAAGCTGATTAAATCATGAATCAAAGGCATATCGAAAATCCCATGAAAAGTAGAATCAAAAACTTGTAATCAGAATAATAATTAAAAGAAAATTACTGAAACTAGATATTAATCAGTGGAGAATGTTAAATAAAAAAAACTTGCTTGGCTCAATATGAGAAGTGTTTGTACATAGATTGGTTTTGTATATCCACAATCTTTAATGCTGCCATTATATGACCAGACAGAGGTAAAGAAATAAATTGAAATAAAACAATAACGTGCCAGCTATACCTAGGCAATAAATTAAAGGCCACCTCACTCCTCTACTCTATTCCTGTTGTCCACTTTATCAGTAGTCGGTTAAAATATTCATTAAAATAGGTGCAAAGCATTAGCTTTAGTATTATCGGAGTGTTGGTTATAAAATTCTTTAATGTCAAAAAAATAACAATTATTTAAATGATCTGTTTTTAATTTACTAATATGTTTAAATTTAATTACAGGCTATTGAATTATATTTAATTTTCAGGATGGTTTAGAGAAAATAATTATTGTAATACAAACAAGTCGACTTTTAAACGTATATTGATCCTCAATAAAAGAACTAGGTATGAGCTAGAGAAAGCATTATGGCCTGACATCACAGAGCATCAACTTGAAGAAATTATTAGAAAAAGAGGTTCAGATGTGGACCGAATCGTTAAGCGCCACAATCAGCATAATGATTTTTATGAGAAGATTGCAAGCTGTTTTAGAAACCATGGTGTCGAAGTAGAAACAGTTAATAGGTAATTGAAAATAAAATTTTACACAATGATGTCTTTGGTTATAAATTGTTTAGTCTTTAGTTTATAATATAATAGTTTTGGAATTTAATTTTATATAATATAATTTAATTTTGGAACTTTAGGTAATTAAAGTTATTAAATGGTAATAACTTTTAGTTATTATTGCTTTGGAATGTTGTGATTGGTTGAATAGCTTTAAAATATTTGATTGTGGCCTTATTCGATTGTTTGAAAGAAAGTTGGTTTGTTTATTTTCCTTTTATTAATTTGATTGATTTGCATTTTATTCAGGTAAATTACCATTGTGCTACGCTCTCTATTTATTTATTAGTTTTCTGGATTTAAGTTCTGCTTACACCCTATCAACGTAATTTATTTGTGTTTAAAGAATTGTATGAGTATAAATGAAGTGATACTCAATGTTAAAAAAAAAAAGTCGTAAATATATATTATATATATATTTATATTAAAAAAAAAAAATTTGAATATAGATAATTCGTATTCACACCTGTTAATGTAAATACAGTGGTATACACATCTGTAAAAGTGAATACAGCTGTATTCATGTCTATAGAAATGAATGCATTTGTATTTACAGAAGTGAATATTTTGAATAATCTTATGAATGAACATTCTTATTTATTAAATAAATATTAATTTTTCAACAAATTTATAGTTCTTAAAGAAGAAAATTCAATGAGACATTGTATCCCTGAGGGATGTCATACTTAAGAAGATGTAATAGAAATCACTCAACCAGACAATTTATTAAATACTTTAGAAGTTAATTTATGATTGATCAATAATCGGTTAATATCAAACTTCAAAATTGGCTGTCGTTTGCTCTAAAGATCATTATATACCTTCTAGCAGATTTATTAAAAGACAAAATTGATTGAAAGACCGAATAATTTGAGTTATCAAACCATACTAAAAAATCAGTCAAGCCATGCACTAAAAAAATCGTTATATACCTTTTGGCGGAAAACCCAAACACATAACCCTCCATTGGTTTTTCGGTAGTCTGTTAACAATCATAATAGGTTTTATAGGCTTGAATATGTATGCAAATATTTCGATCCAGAACAGTAAATTAATATTTGTTAATAAAATAGTTATTTTTTTGGAAGCACTGGTTCTTTTTCAATGGTTGGGTAAGGAAGTGATTTGACTACAACTCTTACGTGCGGGGTTTATCTCTTATAAATACTGAGTCCCACACCTGCCATAGGTTGTACTAGTATTCAAGGATTTTCCCCTTCCTTGGCTTTTAGGCTACACTGGATTTTTCCGGGCAGGGGAATTATGGCGAGTTAAAAGTCCCACCATCCAACAGGATTTGAACTCGTAATAATTTTTCAATCTGAAACAATTATCACGTTGCCGGGCAACGCACGGTGCTGTGCACACGCATTAACCTGTTTGGACACCCTGCCTCCAAAGATTTAAAATATTATAATTCAGAGCTATACATTTATTGACAAATTAATATTTGTTTTATGTTATGAATATTTATTCATAAGATTTTGTAAAAGTATTCCCATTCACTTCTGTGAATATAAGTGTATTCATTTATCTAGAGTTGAACACAGCTGTATTCACTTTTACTTGTGAATACGGCCATATTTATATTTACAGTTGTGAATAGGAATTATCTATATTACATAATTATAATTTCATTTCATATTTATATTTAAGAATATAAATATGTCCATCTATTTTTCTAAAAAAATTTTATTCATATGATAAACAATGTAAATTTATTTGAAAATAAATTCTAAATTACATTTTTTTTTCTATTTACGAATTAAAACATGATTGCATGGCATGCCTCCTCTGTTTTACAATGGATTGAAAATATGTTAAAGCTATAAATGATTGAAGTTATTTAATTTTAGAGCGTCTTATAGCGAAAAGGAAGTTGAATGGGCTGATTTGATTGTAATAGCAGGCGGAGACGGAACGTTCCTCCTAGGAGCTAGTCTAATTCGTGATAGAAATAAACCGATTGTTGGTTTCAACACAAATCCAGGCTGCTCTGAAGGATATCTCTGCCTTCCAAAAAAATATTCTTTTGATGTCGATACAGCAGTTAAAAAAATTTTAAAGGTTAGAAAATTTATCTTAATTATGTTAACTTTTCTTGCTAACCAGGATTCAAGTTTTTTTTAATTAATGAAAGAAATAATTATTTTGGAAGTGGCTTCTATTGGTTTAGTTATTATTAATGCATGTCTCCTTTTAATGATTTGATGTGAAAATAATCTGTTTGTTGCACTATCGTTTTAAATAATACAAAGTGTATAGTTATTGTTTATTTGATGGATTTCCGATTATATAAACCATTCCAACTTATATGCTTTTGTGCCAGTTCTATAGTTTAAAAATAGGATTTCTGTTTTCATGAAGGCTGAATATAGTTAAAAATTACATGTGTTTTTCTCTTCTTTAAGGCGTATAAAGTTCTTCCCTAATGTGGTGATTACTGCAGTTGATTAACCTGTTGCATTTGTGTGTGGGTGTGTGTGTGTGTATGTTGTTCAATTATTGATAATCTTAAAAAGTGTTTGCAGTACATTTCATAGTTTCATAGTATAACATTAATGATAATCATGCTTTGTTTTTTTTCTTTTAGAATGACTTTCATTGGTTGTTAAGGAATAGAATTGAAGTTAAAGTGCTTGGACCCAATGCTTTAGATGAAGTTTTTATAATAGATTCTACGAAGAAATCATGGTAAGTATTCAACTTTAATGGTATTCATGGAGCCCACTGGTTGAATGTTATAAACCTCTTAAATGTGTTAAATTCAAGAAAGCTAATTAAGATCTGTGTGTTAAGTATGCCCGCTATCACACTTGATTTTAAAATGGCCTGTGATCTGTTAATAGTGGTGCTGATTTCGTAAATGCACCTGTAAGGTTGTTATGAGGTTCTCATCTTTTGGTTACGACATTTGTTTTAAAGAAAATATTCTTAGTTTCTAAAATCTCTTACACATGACACATGACTGCCTCAAAGTTCTGCTGGGGATCTTGATCTCTAGCTAGCTCCTTGACTCCAGACCAGGTCTATCCGGCGCTGTGCATTTCCTTCTCTAGAGTACTCCTCCACATTTCTCTAGGCCGTCCGGGTCTTCACAGACCGTGAGGGTTCCATTTTAGACCCTGCCATGTTGAGCGTTGTGCTACTTTCTAAGTGTGTGCACCAGCCATCTCCATTTCCGATGTTTCATAGCCTGATCTATCGGGGCTTGATTACTTCGCGACCAGAGCTCTGCATTAGAGAATGATTTAGGCCACTATACTCGCAATATATAATGCAAATATCTATTGTCTGTAGCTTCTTGGTCACCTGCTTGGTAACTTTCCAAGTCTCGTAAGCATGTAGCAGAAATGACATAACATTAGTTTTGAAGATGTGATATTTGTTCACTCTCCTGATTTTTTGCAATTTCCACACAGGCCAGAAATGTGAGAATGATTTTTGGGCTTTCCTTATATGGCTCCCAACATCTTTATCAGCTCCCCCTATCAAGGCTCACTATACTCTCAAGATAGCAGAATTTACTAACCCTTTTAATTATTTGATCTTCCTTAACAAGATTTTCCTTGCTCCTAATGTTCACTTGTATCTCTTTCGTCTTTATTGTGAGGCAAGAGCTTTGAGCTTCCCTTTGTTCATTTAACTTCTCCTGCATATCATTGAAAAATTGGGATAACATAAGTCATCTGCAAGACTCATAGACTCAGATCTATGAGTCTTTCCGTGGGTCCTCGTTCGATATGAAGAGCTCACCTTAAAATGATGGGTACCATTAGGAATAAGATAAGAAAGAGAACAGACCCCTGCCAATTACCAGTTCTGACTTTAAAGGATTGCGACACTCTGCTGAGGAGAAACCCTCTTATAATTTCTTAACAATATTGATGATTTTCTTTGGTATTCAAAATTCCTTCTTGGCTTCTCACATTTTCTTTTGTGATATACTGTCAAAAGTCTTTTTGAAATCTATAAGGATAAGATGGAATTCAAGGAAAAACCGGGAAATGAACTAGAAAAAAATTAGATGAAAATGTTTATCCTATAATTATGGAAAATCTCAAGAAGTTCGAATCGATTAATTTTTTTTTTCAAACCTAAGCATAAGTAAATTTAATGAAATCTCAAAAACTGTCTAAATTATAATAATGTATAATATTTTATATAATCTGTTATAATTATAAATTAATCGTTATCTCTAAAACTGTTTTCATTCTTTTTTCATTTATCTCAATCTTACATAGTTTGTTAAGTTACATTTTATTGCATAGTTCAAAGATAAAAAATTAAATTTAAGACATTTTCTTTTTCTTGCAGCATTCCAGAATACAAAAAATCAAAAACTATTGGCCTAAAAAATGATTCGGATGTATCTTCTAGAGTTTTGCCATCTCTTGCACTTAATGAGGTAAGTTAGCCCTGGAGCCAGGGCCCAAAAATCGACCTCATCGTAGGCGAATGTTTCATCGTAAATTATGAAAGTGTATATTATTCTGAGTAAAAAGAATCTTGTCTGTCATTCCAGAGCCGCTGCTTTAAAAATGACGAAGAAAAGAATATTAAGCCAGTAATAAAAACAGGAAATTCATTGCGGAAAATGTGAAAAAAGTTTTTGTTTTTTAACTTGTATATGCGGGTTTGTTTAGGCATGTAAAAAACAATATTGCTAACACGGGTCACCAAGGGAAAACTTTTTACAGCCAAAGAAGTCAGATTTTTTTCAACTATAACTTCTAAACGATGCATCGAAGCAAAAAATGTACTCATTAATAAATTAGAGAATGTTAAATTGTGCATCGATCGAGTATACAAACTTTATAACTTTGTTATGTGGTAAGGTATAAAAACCCATCAAATTTTGCTTCCAATGAGTACCAACTAACATAATGTAGGTCACTTCGAACTAAATTGGTAATCTCCTGATGGTTAGAAATTGGTAATGAAGGTAACGTGATTTTCAATATTTCAACAGTAGGTATTTGGTAAAAATCAGCGTTGGTTGACCTTGATTTTATACCTTACCAAGAAACCAAGTTATAAAGTTTATTTACTCGTTCGATGCACAATTTAGCATTCCTTAATTTATTAATGAGTACATTTTTTGCTTTGATGCATTGTTTAGAAGTTATAGGTGAAAAAAAATCCGACTTCTTTGGCTGTAAAAAGTTTTCCCTTGATGCCCCGTGTTAGCAATATTGTTTTTTACATGCCTAAACCCATATATACAAGTTAAGAAACAAAAACTTTTTTCACATTTTTCGCAATGGATTTCCAGTTTCGACCCTCAAAATACTGGCCTAATATTCTTTAAAAAAGCCGCCATCTTTGAAAGCAGCGTCTCTGCAATGGCAGGCAAGGTTCTTTTTACTCAGAATAACATACACTCTCGTAATTTACAATTAAACCTTCATCTGCGATGAGGTAAATTTTTGGGCTTTAAATTAAGATATTTAAGCTTACCACTTAGTCTGCCCCTAGTTGTTCCTTGGATAAGTGAATTAAGTTTCAACATATATTTAGGAGATACAATATGGAGACGCAGTCGTTAATTTATTTTTTCCAATATTTAATATTTCTAATATTTTCTTTATAATAACATTATTTTTCTTTATTGTTATAAAACTTTTTATTTTTTCAATAACAGATTTTTATGGGTGAAAATGTCTCTTCTCAAACTTCAAGTTTGCTAATTCATCCAGAAGGATACGCTAAAACAATTGTCAAGTGCTCAGGACTTTGTGTCTCGACTGGTACAGGTTCTACCAGTTGGCACATGTCCATCAACAGGCTTACTGAAGAAAAGGTAATTACCTTGTTAACTGGTTATAATGACTTGTTATCATTGCATTAATAACTATTTCTTTTTAAATAATTTTTTTTTTTTGTTGCAAAAACTCATTAACACTTACCACGTATGGAAGTATGAAACTGAACTTTTTGTATAGAAAATAAATGTTTATTGGATAAATATTTTATTCAAATTGTTGTCCATTGTTAGATATTTTTCCTACCTCTCTGGTAATTTATGACTGCCATTCTAGAAAAACTGTTGCTCCTTCCTGGCAAACCTGCCATAAATCTTTCGTGTATTTTTTATGAAGTGAAATGCTGCTGAGCAAATGCATGCTCCAACAATGCAAATAAATATTTGTGCTATTTCCTTATTGGAACTCCTCGGTTGGTTTTTCCGTGAGTGATGGTGCATTATCATGAAGTGAAATCACCTTGTGTTGTCTTTTTCATATTCTGGTCATTTTTCATGGAATATTCAATTCAAATAGACAATTTTTTGTTGATACCTTTCACTAGGTTTTAGTAACTCATGATAAATCACACTCTTCTAATCCATTCTTCATTTCTCTAGTCAAAATCTCTACTTTTGAATTTTTTTTAAACCACTTGAAGGACTGTGATTTACTAAGAGCATGCTCACCATTTGCTTTGAAAAAAGTATTCCATACGATTGTTTAAATGATAATAGAAAAATAATGCTTTCCGAAAATCATTATATGATTATATTATATGAAACTTATAGTGAATTGAAAATCTTTGCCAGCTGTTGAAGAAAAAAATTGGTTCCAATAATGCAGCGTAGAGGTAACTGCATTAACAACTAGAATTCATCTATGGTTTCATATTTACACTATGGTTTCATATTTACACACCTGGTGTCTTCCAATGGTGGTGATCTGATCCTTCATGAATGCTGTGTATTTTATTTTTTATGACACATGTCCTTTGTCAAAAGTTTTATTTCTGTATCAAAAGTGAAGTTGAACTTCACTTTTTTTAAACTAATCTGTTTGAGTTATTTTTTTGCAAGCTATTTGTTATTAATTTAATGATTAAAAGTGATTTAATCAAAGATTCATTGTATCTTTTTTTTTATATATCCTGATCTAACTTCTGTATTATCATTTCAGGTTAGGATGGTAATGAAACTATCCGGTCATCCAGTAAATGATAAAGATGAAATATCGAGCATCACTCAAAAATACAACTCATCTCTTAGATTTTCTCCAGGTAAAATAATTATCTATAGTTAATTACTTTAATTTATGTTATAATTAATTACAATTAGAACATTTTAAAGTTTGTAATTATGAATTCTATTTCTATAGTGAAGAATTTTTTCAACTACAAACATTTTGTATTTTTTTTTTGTTAATAAGAAATCAGAACTATAAAAGTGAAAAACAGAATAGGAAAAGGCATTTTGCTTTTTAAAAAAAAATTTAAAAAATTAGAATATACAATTTGAAAATTAATTTTTAATTGTTCTTACTTTCATAGATTGTATAAATTAAAAAAATTTAACATGAAAATAACTTTTTTTTTTATTAACTAATTGATGCTTAGAACCAGTTTTAGACAATGCGTAACTTCTGAATCTGTGATTTAACTAAAGTAGATAGCTAGAGTAACTAGATTCAACTGTTGTTGAAGACTTGACTTGAGAAATTAAGTTAATATTACTAATATGGAGGTATGAAAAACAAAATGAAATTATTAAAATTGAGTTTGAAAATTTGAGTCCCTATTTAGGCACCAAATGTAATATCATGAAGTGTTTCAAATAGTTTTGATTAGCAACGGTGAAAACTAAATTAAACAATATATTTGATTATTGAATATCATTAATGTTTTGATTGAATCACAAATGTCTGACTTTGGCTCGCTCAAGAAGTGCATAAACCTCCAGCGCGTCCTTTTCAATCGAGCTCGGATCTTAGCAAGGAAGCAGTGCAGGCGGATTCTTATTAAATATCTAAAATGATCCATGGCCTATTTTATTAATTCCTATCTATGTAAATCGTAATTTTGTTTTTAATTTGTACTTCATGAATCTATTTCTTTATTGTCTATCAAAAAGCTGTTTTAATAAAATACATTTTAATTTAATTTGAAATATGATTAGTGTTTTGGTCTTAAGATATTGCCCTTTTTAGAGGGTAATTTTGATTAAAAAAAAAAAGTTTCAGAGGCTAAGAGACCTGGCGTGTTCCCGGGCCCGTAGGAGCACATTGCATTGAGAAAAGCAAACTACTGCAGTGACTCGGGCCCACAGGTGAGAATTGTACCTAATATTCAAGTGGCAGTCGTAATGACCGCCATGGGGCCAGTCGAATGTCATGTAACGGTTTTAAAGACCACCACGGTAGTCAAATTGTTGATAGTTAATTTTTTGTTTTGTTTTTAGAGATATATTATTGAAAATCTAAATAAGATTGCCTGTTTTTCAGATGATAGACGCCTTTACTGGAGCTTGAGGGAGCCTATTTATAGTTCCGTGTTCCCAGATCCACCCGGTTTCCCAGCGGGTGGCTTTTCCGATTGTGTTTCAGTTGGTTCTCGCTGCTTTTCGGGATGTTTGGTTGTTGATGGTACGCATTGGTATCCATTTCATGATGGAACTGTGGCTCAACTGTATTCGAGCCCTGATAGATGTCTTAGAACAATATTTTTCGATTGATCAAAGAGTATTACCACCTATCTTTATTTAATATCTGTTGCGTAATAGTATTTAATGCTACGCAATTACATTTGTTCTCTACTTTATACGAATAATTGTAAGACACATTCTTTTTATCGTAGCATTCAAATTTTAATATAATTAATTATCTGTTATGTCAACTCAGTTTACTAATGGAGTTCTTAAGAACAGAATTGAGGAAATCAAACAAACGTATGAGACTGAATGGATTGAAGCCATGATAAATGCCTTAGAAAGAGTATTACATCACCTATTCATTTAACATAAATTAGAGGAAAAAGTATACAATGTCACTTGATGTAGTTTAGTCTAGACTATATAAGAATATTTTAATTATAACAAATTATTTTATCATAGATTTTTAATTTTTATTGTGAATATTTATTATTTTAAAAAATAAATATGTAACTAGACTGAAAATGATGAATTATTAAGATTTTTATTTAGTTATCTGAAATTGAAAAGCCTGTTTTTTTTTTATATATTATGATCATTGATATTTGTTAGTTATACCCTATAATTTCAACATTTCTCTTTATAAATATACAACTTTAAGAGAAGTATATTAAATTATAATCATCACTGTTTTAATTTAATATGTCTGTAATTAAAGGCTGATAAAGTGGGCGTAAGATTATTTGTGCCAATAGAACAAAAAGAAATCTCTTTTGGAGATAATGGCGCTTGTTCAATTTTGTACAGGCTTGCAATTAATTGTAACTATTTTTTTTCTGATTTACTGACTGAGCTATTTTCCTAACTATTTATTTACATGTAAAATTTTATTGTTGTAACTTAAATTCACAATTTAAATGTTACTTTTTACTTGTTATACGAGGTTTATTATATTATAATGGTTGTGATTTTATTTAATGTATATTATTTGTATCACTGTGAAAAATTAATAAATTTAATAAATGTTTATTTTATTTTTTTTAAATCATGAATTCCATACCTTGTTTATGAATAAAATCTATATTTTTATTTTCTGTGCTTAATATCATTGTGTCCTATGTAGGCTGTTAGGTCTCATATTCTAAGCTGAGTGTGGAAGTTGAGTTTCATTCCGTGGGTCTGCCACAAAAAAAAATTTTAATAAACCCATGCCGGATCCAAACTGGCATCGTTAGACTCAAAAATGTTAAAGCATAAACTTCGCGAGTCTAATGATACCAGTTCAAATGGACCTTTTCAACTTCCTAATTGTGTTGTAAGGTACGCTGGTAGTGACCATCCACTAATTACTGGATTGGATTAAATTTTTTACCTAGATTTAATCAACACTCTTGAGAGCTGGGTAGCTCAATGAATAAGGAACAGACATCCAATGCTTAAGGTTATAAGTTTGAGTCCGGCAATTATTTATTCTCTTATTGGCTGTGTATTGACCCTCCTGGGGCATACTCAGCGGTGTGTACTCCTAATTATTGAAGAAACCTGTATTTTTGAAGGACATATTACAGGGGTCTGGCTAGAAAACTCGAGGTTAAAAATCAATATTATACCACTAATATATTGTAATATAAATATTACATAGTGATTTTAAATAGTGGAGAAAAGGCAGTTAACTCACGAACTGTCAAAAATAGACAAAGACAGATGGAAGGGGAAGCAAGTGCCAGATGTTAAGGCAGAACGTAGCCAGCCGGCTAGTAAAGAGGATCTAGAGAAGAAAATGTGAATAACAAGTAGTGAGTGTCAATAAAGAAAGAATAGAAGTTGAACACAACAACATAGAAGAAGATTAGCTGCAGAACAGGGTGAGTGAAAAATATTTGATCGACAAAATTAATGGAAATTCATAAATGTTATGTACAATTAATGTATGATTTTATATTTATAATTGAGGAATGTGTTTGTTGTCTCAAACCAGCCTGAGAATTAATTATTGTGTAAAATGAATATTATTTGATTCAGAAACTGTTTTGTTTACTTTTTAAAGGGAACTAACAATATATATATATCAAAACAGTAAATAAACAATACAAAATAGAGTATAAAAGATATTTACAACATTAGTATAACTTTTGTAGTATTTGTATAAAATATTTATAGTATAAAATGGTAAATATTAAAATATTCACACGATAAAGTATTAAACATTAAAATATGCACAGTATAAAATAGCAAATTTTAAAATATTATTAGTATAATATAAAGTTTAACACAAGGAAATATATAATCATTCATAGTATAAGCATAATTATTATTAAAATAGGTTTACATGATGAACTTTAATATTATGTAGTCTTAATTAAATAATTTATCATGGGAGAAAATCTGGTGGTTGAGCGTGACCTTTTAGTACATGTGTTATTGCTGTACCCATATTTATTTTTCATTAGTTATCATATAACTTAAATTTATAAGTGATTGACTGATACACACTCATTCACACTATCATCTTTATTTTATGATATAATAATTTTTTACTTTTACTTCTTATATATGTAATATATATTAAGGGAAAGTATTACGATTGTGAACATTATTGAACTGAGTTTCCAACGGAAATACACGTTTTGAGGTCCACTGAGTCGAAATAACCAAGTCCCACTAAATGGTCTGTGTGTGTATGTGAATAGTCAAGCTCAAGAACAAAAAGTTGTAAGAAACTAATATTACATATTTAAGATAGGTATATGGCTGGGATGTTACACCACCTTTTTTTATAAATTGTAATTAGGTCATCATAATGGTATATAAAAAAAATGCTAGTTATTATTTTCTTTTTTCTCTGTTATACAAAGGATAAAATGTGGGTTCACTTGTATTTTCATCTTTATGCCAATAACTTATCATAGTATGTTTTTGTAATAAATTCATTAATTAATTCTATAATTTGTCAATTTCCAAGATCCAACTTTCTTTTTAGTATTATGTTTTTGTATTAATTGCTGATCATCCACTGCATGTATGAAATTAATATTAATCTGTCTGATGGAAAAAAAAATCTATTAATTCATGAATTTAATCACTATTTTTATCAATTAATGGGTGCTATATTTAAAAATGCCTTTTTATACTAACTAGTGTTCGCCCAGTGGTTGAAATTCGATGATAAAAGTTAAAAATTCGATGAAAATATATAATTAAATGAAAACTAAATTCAATAAATAAAGAGTAAATCACGATTCAACAACCCTCATTTATTAAGAAAACCAAATTTCAATTTCAATTAAAAATCAAGCTTAAAATACTTACAATTATCTATAGTAATACCAAATAGATTCACTCAAAAATATTTAATTTAAGTGTGTTATTATCACGATAAATTAATGTTAGGGTTAAGCAAGTAAAAAATAAATTTAAATTAGCAATATCAATTCAGTTTAAATCAATTTTTATGTAGAACTTCTCTGTAAACAATGTTCTGTTATTGTTTAGTACATAGCCTGGCCATTGCCATTGGAAATATAAATTTCAAAATTTTAAACTAACGTGCCCTATTTGCTGCCACATATAATAATTGTCTATGCGAAATTATTGGACATCACAATAATAAATAAATTTTTTCAAAACTTTAACCCTTTGATTATGGTCAGTGAATCAAAATGATGCGTCTAATCCCTAATGACAGTCATTTAATAAATAATTTTACTATAAATATAAACAAAGTATGGATTAAGGTCAAAACAAGAAAATCTCGAGAATTATGAGTGTTTTAATACTTTTGACGGGAATTGTATTTTCATTAATTTATCCATCTTTGTAGAGAGATAAAAAAGAAATAATCTAACTAAACATTAAGCTACCAGTCCTAAAATTAATATTATATATGATTTTTTAAATTGATAAAATGAACAAATCATTAGAGAGATAATGAATGCTACACTAATAGGGATAAGTTAGACAGTAGTCTTTTGGGCTTAATTAGATTTCTATAAAAGGAAATATCTAATGAAAACATTTTATTTTCCTTCTGGTTTACAAATTTAATTTAATTTACATGTGTTCACTGAAAATTTCATTGGAATAAGGAGGTTAGCATGACAGTCAAAATGAAAAAAAAAAAAAAAAATATATATATATATATATATATATATATATATAATAAACTACTTAATGAATGGTGTCATATTTATTGCCACTCTATCTTCTCCCAGATTACAGACAAAAATCTAACCTGGGGAAGTGGAATAAATTATAGGATATATTTAAAAAAATGAGTTTTTCAACCAAATATTTCTATTATTATTTCTTTGATATAAAATACAATTTATACTGAAAGTATAGATCATTAGCCATCTGCTAGCCAATTGCTCAATCCCACGCAGATACCATTCTTTGGGATGTCTGTCAAAGAACTCTTGGATTGCAATTTCAACTTCCGCAAAATTATCAAATTTTTTTCCCTTGAAGAAAATGGGCCATGGATCTAAATAAGTAGTAATCCGATGGTGGGAAGTCTAGATTACATGGATGAGTCAGGAGTCTCATATCAGAAAGGTTCTTCAATAAATTTTCACAAATTTCTAATCTCTTACCAGATTGCTGAGGAGTAAGTTCGTGAGGGAACAGTCTACTGCTCTTTTTCACCTTCCCCATAGAGAGAAGATGGTGACTAACAGAATCTTTCGATACAATATACTCTCTAGTAAGTTTGCAAATATTCGTGGTTGGATTTGACTCAACTTCCCGCAGAACCTCATCAATATCCATTAAAGGGCGTCCAGAGCTCTTCTTCCTTTCTAAAGTTGTATCTCCAATGCTAAATTTATCAAACCCAACGCCACGCAGTTCGCTGGTCAAGAACATCTTCCCCTTCATATTTAATAATTTTAAGAATTACTTTAGCAGCTGTGGAATTGGTTTTCCAGTAATGCCTTAAAATTATGATAATTTCGTAGGACACTGTTATGTTTCTTCTTTGAAACAAATAACTAAACTGAGGCTTTATTTGAAGAAGACAAATGAAATTAAACAAGCTTGGAGAATACTCTAAAGAGATTATTTAAGTATTAAACAGGATTAAAATATTTAGTCCTTTGAAATCTTTAAGTTGATAAAAGGGTATCTTTTTTTATACACCCTATTATAATACTTAAGTATTGGTATAGAAAGAAAATATTTCTGTTAATTATTTAAAAATTAATAGGATGATTTAACTATTTGAGTCTTTGTTGGAAAAACTGAATAGATTGTTGTTTTATCAAGCCTGTTATATACAAAAAACAATTTCAGTAAAAAGATTTAGCATGTTTGTTGCTCTATAAAAATTTTATCAGTTGGTTAAAACAAGAAAATAAATAAAACACAAGACTATAATTTTTCATTTTTATTATTATACACATACAACATACAATTTAAACATAATAGTTCTTTTCATTACTTTTATTTTGTTTTCATCAAATTTAAATGTACAAATACTTTATCAGTTATTTTCAACAGAATATAATAAGGCTTGTCAACAAGTGAAAATCGAAGCTTCAATAACACACAAAGATAAATTGTATTGAAGAATACAAAACTTGTAACACAATTATTGGCATATATTGGCATATATTGTATATAATAATAATATAAAATTTTCAAGCTATTGAATGAAAGAAGAGATTATATTATTAATGCTGCACAATGTATTTTAATTTAATTATACTGAAATTATAAAGGCTACGACAAAGGCTTTAATAAAATATGAGAAAAAAATTACAATCAGAATAACTGTGAGAAAAAAAAAATTAATGCACTGTCACAAACAGAACTCACATAACTGAGAAATTTACTGGAATTCTTTAAAAATATATTTAATGATTAAATTCTTACTAGTCTACATGAAAATAGATAAATAGAAAGGGAAGAAAAAACGGAAGAATTACAAGTTCATTTTATTGTTGTACTTACAATTATGTTGTTTTCTTTTCTTTGCATATAAATTAGATTAGTATAATACCGAAGAGAACAGATGAGCAAAAGGAAGAAATAATGCATTACAACACCAAGGAACAATTTCACACACGTTTATATTATTTATATAATAACTTTCTAAAACAGTATATTTGTTTACATATAATATTTATTAATAATTGTAATTCGTGTTAAAAGCTTATCAGTATTCATGATGTCAATTAAAAAAGCAGATTCTAAAAAACTTGAACACTCTTCAAAAAGATACAGTTGGTATTGATACTCAACATCAATAACATTCTGTTCTCAGTTATGCTTAAAAAAACAATTTTTTTCCATTAATACTGAAAGGAATATTTACCCTCACTATTCACAAAATGGTAACAATACATCTAAATCTATTTCATAAAAAAAAAGTTAAATAAAATCGAGAAATATCGACAAAACAATTAAATTAATTCATTGATAAAAGATCCAAATCGTGAACCATTTATATTCTGCGAAACTAGGCCTATAAAATTTAAATAACAATAAAATATAATCCACTAATTAAAAGATTACTCTTACCTAGTACATTTAGTCTCAATCAATATCATCACACAAGATGTAAAGAAATTAGAATAGGTCAACTAAAATAAAGGAGTACAATAAACCATAGGAATTATCACAGTCATTAAAATACCTTTGCATTGATAAATCTAATCATAAAAAATTGACTACAGCCACTGCTTTAAAAATATATATGAATATAAACTCTATATGTTAAAAAGGGTTGTTACGTTTATGTTATTGGGGCATCGTCGTCTTGCAGAGATGTTACAAATACAGTATTATAACGTCTCACACGGAATTGGTACAATTTCTCAACTAATTTGAGGCGTTTAATCAAGAAGAAAATAGCACCAGCTAGAGCTAAAATCATACAAGGTACGATGATCCAGAGAGCAATTGAGCTGCCTAAAACAGAAGGAGAACAAATAACAACAATAATGATAATATAAGAAAAAGAAGAATTTATTGTATGATTTTATTTAAAGTTCAGTTACTGTCTAGAACTTATTTTATTCACAGATTTTTTTGGAACATTACATTTCTATATTTAAAGTTAATTTTTGCACATGATTTTGGAAAATCTAAACTTGAACTCTTAAATATATTCTTTATAAAATAGAGTGGCATTTAAGTTATCATAAAAAAGAAAAACTATTCCACTACAACCTTTCAAGGCTCTAGAGTTTAATGGTTTGTGAGAAAGTATAGTTTATCGGTCAACAGTTGCGCAACAAGATGATTTGACCAACATCACACTGAACTACCAGGTTTTTCCTCTTAATCAAGAGTAGCCACTTATAAAAGTTTGAACGTACCAGAGGATAGTCTTCCAACTTCAGGGTTGAAGCAACATAATAAATAATTACCTGGCACAGCTGTACTAGAAACTAGGACAGAAAGAATAGGAGGACAGTGACTTACAGACTGAATTACCTCACTTCCCTAAAACGTGAATAAAAAGGATTTGCTCAAAAATATAGATAACCCATTATGGATCCTGAAGTTGCAAGGACATTAATCTGTAGTCCATTGATTTTTTATCCATATGATTAAAGCTGTGGTGAATCCTAATCAACAAAGTCAATATATCTTCTCCACATCACTCCTTTATAGACTTCCAATAAAGTTTTGATTGATTAGCATTTTATGTTAAAACCATAAAGTACTTTTACACTTGTATATGAATTCAGTAGTTTTTTTTCGATATATATATTTTTTTTTAAATCTGCCATGAATGGACTCTTTTCTCATTATATAATTCTCCTTTAAGGTGACAGAATGTTATACTACTCATTAAAACAGTTTCAACAATTACATGCAAAGTTATTACAGTTATAATTTTAATTACACCAAGTTATCATAGTTAAATACACCTCTAAATCCATTCATCTATTCAGAAAAGATTTTTTAAAATAAAATTTATAAAGAATTGAATAAAAGAAAGCACATATGTAATACTACTAGTTGAAACATGAAAGTATGATACACATTTTAATGATGTTAGCATAATTAACCCTTTAAGGAGTGAATCAGCATAATTACATACATAAAATTTTACTTTAAATGCACAGGAATTTACAACTTAAGGGTGGGTCATACTGATTTACTCTTTACTTTCATTCATTGCATTACATTCAAAACATAGAAAATTAATATTAGATAATTACATAAACAAACACAGAAAATCATACCTCCACTAACTACTGGGTGGTCATTAATAGAATCATCAGAAGATGGAACAACAATTGGGACACATTTTCCATTTTCAGATTTGAATGATTCCTTACAATGACAAACACCTAAGTTATCCTTTTCTTCAAGGCATTCTGAGTTTTCCCCACAAGGGTTATTAAATACATCATCCAGCCTGCATGATTCCTCTGAAAAGCAAATTATTTTATTAAAACCTGGTGTTTCTAAATCTACTGGATGCCAAAACAGATAAAACATACCTCCGAAACAAAATATGTATAAATGGAAAAAATAAAGTAGCCACGAAATAATAAAAACAAAGCTACTGTTGTTGGAACGTAAATTCATTTTAATTTAAAGTCATCAATCGAACTTTTAATGGAAAAAAGTACTATTTGTGCCATACACAATTTAAAAACTAAATAAGGAAACAATCAATTAATGACATACAACATCAAACGCATATCAGTACACAAGCTGTTATCTATTAGTGATTGAAGTTATCTTCTTTCAATAGCCATGCCTACTGAATGAAGTTTATTTTTATAAAAATATTACAAATAATAATATTACCCATTAAATTTGCTTAAAATAATTTGCTTAATATTATTTTAATATTTTGGTGTAGTATTATTATAAACTACACAATAATGAGATTAATGAATTTGTAGATTAGATGTCGGTATCCATGTAGGTAACATCTGCCATGTTCGGTGGGTTTATCCAGATGAACTATTGTATTTGATATTAACAGTTTACTTTTTGGCAATGTTAAACAATTATTGTGTGTTTTATTGATGATTTTAAATATGACTCCAAGTGTTTTCACCATCGTATGTAGTAGAATACATCTATACTTTTAAAAAATAAACAGCCGTCGTTCGTCTCCCTTTTAATTATTTATTGCTTCAATTGTAAAAGCTAGAATAACAACCTATTTATCTGGCTATCAGCAGTTTCTGATTTATGTTATTTTGCTTGATGGATTAGAGACATGTTTTTTTCAATTAACAGTGAATCCATAGTTTCAGTATCACCAGAGACTTCAGAATCTAGTCATTTTTACAGAAATGTATAGTGTTTATTTTAATGTAGTGTAGTGTGCTTTGAAAATTTCTCATATTTTGTTATAAAGCAGTTGCAAGTATTCATGCAGATGTGAAAGAAAGAACATTAATGGAACAAAATGTCAGCAAAAGATATGGATGGATTTATGGGCCTTCTGTCCACAACAGATACAAAACAAAAGCTTGTTATTGGGCAGGATCTTTTGAACTATTTGCAGAAGGGATCATCCATAGAATGTTCTGATATTGGCATGGTAGTTGACAGCCTTCTGCCATGGGTACAAAGCAGCAATTTCAAGGTATTTTTGTCTCTTAATTTCATTATATTAATCAATTTACCCTTTGATTGAGGCATAAGAATCAATATCATATTGAATATCTTGTACACATTGATTAAATCATTATTTTCATTGATGTTTAGATATTTTTTATAACTTTAGTCGAGTTTGATAGTAATCTGTTTACTGACTTCATCAATAATCATTAGTGCATTAAATAAGTTTGCTACACTTATATTTTTCTGATTGTTGAGTTGTGAACTTACAGATTTACTTTGCTTAGGTCAAAAATTCAATCATTTGACTTAAATATTTTTATTTATCTTAGTATATCAGTCTTATCCTGCATGTTTCACACCAAGATTTTTCATTTAAAATATTTACCTTTATTTCATTTTTCTGTATTAGATAAAATTAATTTGGTTGTAGTGTCCACTCTTGACCTAAATCACTATATACATATATCAGTATCTTTGATGAGCTGTTTCATTACCCTTTTTAAAGAGTAACATTGTTTTCACTGATATGATATTTTAAAAACTAATTGTTTTTGTAAGAATTAAAAGCAAAACCAAAGCAAAAGATTTACTTAAGTATACAAACGTTCTATAGACCGTGCGATTGTTGGCTTACAATATTTCTCATGTTTGTTATTTAAAACTGGAATAAGTTTCTAAGTTATTCTGTATATCTCTGAGATGGCTTAATATAGCCTATCGCATAATTGTCCCTAATGAAATTTTAATAATTCTAAATTATTTACTTTTTAGAATTGCACTGAACATTAAATTGTTATCTCAGAAGAGCAATTTAAAAAAAATATTATCCTGTTTAAATTATTTGTTATCTTGATTAATAGTGCTTTTTAGTAAAGTTAATACTAATAAGCTTTGAAATTATTGTGGATTTTATTTTCCATTATTGAATTGGTTCTCCAAGATTCTTTTCTGTATGTAGTGTTCACACTGTTGGATATTTATGGGTACTGGTCGTATATAATAATTTAAAAATATTTTTTAAGATTGAAAATTAATGTTTTGAAATTAAATTCTTAATATGGATTCAGTGTTATAATTGTGATTTGAAAATTAATATAAATAATTATTTATTGTATACTTTTGTTGCTTTTAAAAAGTATTTGTGTGTTTGATTTTTATTGCCTTAGGAATGTAGGGAAAGTGTGGAGGCTGTGTGCAGCCCACTTCTTTAATTTTGTTCTTTATTAACAGGATGATGTTTCAAGGATGTTTTCAAAGCATATCTTATCACATTTATGATGTTTATATTTACTAACTTTAATGATATAAGTTTTAAAAATTGTATTAATAGCATTTTACTTTTGTTCTCCATTGTTATAAAAATAAACCAAACTCACAGGTTTCTTATAATAATAATTAAATTAACTTAATTTAAAATTCTATCTAATAATTTTTTTTTTTAATGTCAGAAAGGATCAGTGAAACTAAGAAATTATTGAAAAAAAATAATTCCCAAGATGTGATGAAATTGTTATTGTTTTATTAATTATAACTTAATATAATGTATTATCCAGCTCAAGAGTTTTTTAAAACTAAAAACGTACACTTGGATATATTTTACTGCTTTTATATATGTTTTTGCTGCTCCTATATTATTTTGTATTCATTAATTATCATATATTTCTAACTGTTAAAGGTGTAAAATACCTTCCCTGCAAAACCTGTGTAGTCGGAAGGCAAGGAATGAGTAAATAAATAATAGTATAAATTTATTTCTAAAATTTAATTTTAGAAATTGTAATTTAAGGAGTGGGGTAGCTCAGTGGTAGGTTGCTGAGGTTCTAATGCTAAAAATCCCAGGTTCGAATCCTGGCTCATGGCAGAAATATTATTTATTCTGTTTCATTGGCCGTGGGGCAATTCTGGGTAGGTAGACCCTCCTAGGGCACACCCTGCCTCTATTAGTGGGTATCCTTAATTAAAATAATTAATTAAGGGGGAAAACCTGGCGTTTGAGCATGATCTCGGTGATGATGATCTCGTGAAATCGCCTCCTTCCACAACCGTATACCAAGAAACTGTGCTTTCCCTAAATAGTAGTGAACCCATGACCCTTCATGGGTTGTAGTGGTACAGGTTCTTTTTTTTTTTGTAATTATAATTTAGCAAGTAATGTATAGTGATTCACTGATAAATATTCTTAATGTTCAATTCAGTCTCACTTAGCGATCTTTATTTGACAATTTAGTTTTGACAAATAAGATTATTTTGATGTATGTGTTTATTAGAATGTGATTTTAAAAAAAAGTTTTATTTAAATTTATTTGTTGTTAAAATTTGCTATAAGATATTTTCAGGAAATCATGCCAGAAGTATCTATGTGGTCCCTAAGTAACCTTATCATTTTCCTCTAGTTCAGCTTTGTAAATTAGGTTATCAATATTATTTCTTAAAATGTATAATCTTTTTATTTTTCTTAATCTGTTAGCAATATTTTCTCCATATACAGAATATCCATCCAATTTTTTGATTCGTTTAAAATAATCATAACATTCCTTAATTATTCTGCAGGCTGTTTCTACCTCTGAGGGATCATCAATGGCTGTAGGTTCACAACTAATACTAGGGGAAGATGCGCTGTCTAAATTCTCAAGATTTTTGTTTTGCTTTTTTACCTCAAACCCAAAATTCCCAACATGTGATTAACAGAACTAAAACTTCCACTATAACCAATCTTTTCTTGAAGCACCGCTCACACTTTTTCTGCTATTGGAAATTCACCCTTGTCATAAAATTCCATCACTATCCTTCTAACCATGGAATCTCTCAAACCAGTTTTTGGTTTATCTCAAGAATATGATCTTCGAGGCGCTAAAAACAGTGGATTTGTTTTTTGCTCTTTCACACACCTCTGAACAGAGTGAAGACTAACTCCGCACAACTTGGAAGTCACCTCCTGTCTCTTTTTAAAGTCCACAGTTTCCAGAACACATGGCTCATTTGAACTTTTTACAAAGTTCAAAACGTTAGCAATGACATTTTTAGTTTGTCTATTTAAATCATATTCCCCTATTTCCTCTAACCGGGATCTTATAGTTTTGCTTTGAATTACATCAAGCAATGTGTTCTACATGGCTACATCGAAGGTCTCCTAATAGTTATTTGAACTAATGTAACATTACCCTGAAACTCATAATAATTATTTCAACTAATATAAGGTGGGAGTTACACACTACATTCTGACGTATCCAAACTGGCCTAACACAGCGAGCATACACCGCGGGAGGCACGAAGCAAGGCGAGTGACCTCTTTGGCGTAGTTGCCAGTTGGTGTAGCTTTAAGGCGGTCTTACGTGTTTGCACAACAATTGTGTGAATGGGCGGATGTTCTCTTTCGCCTCAGCTTGCTGGTGGCCGATCTGCTCTAATGGCGGTTTTAATCAAAAATCAAAAGAGCATGCGGCAAATGCCACTTTCTATTCGTTAAGAACTTCTAACAGGTGTCTCTTGTTAGAACCAGTATATAATCACCTATTGGTAGTATCAACATTAATTTCCCGGAATAGCTGAGAAATAAATGTTAACTGGCCTAGGTGGGAATCGAATCAACAACGTGACGAACCGGACACTCAGAGACCAGAGAACTATCACGTCCTCTCTTTGTTTACTTAAACGTTTGTAGATGTTAGGGCTTGCAGAGTTTGAAAAACTTGTAAACAATCCACTTTTCCTGTATTATAATAACTTTCTCAATTCGTCAAGTATCAAATTTTAGTGATTCTAGAGAAAACGTCACAGCTCGGGCTAAGGTATTTATGACTACTACTATGACTACTACCTGATCTAGAGTTATTAATTGTCCAAGGAATATATATTAAAAAAGATCTTTAAATATTTATTAAAAACGAAAGAAAATACAATCATATTTATAAAGTATATATATTGTGAAACTATAAACATTATTATGTAAGCAAAATGGGATCCGGGACGGCCGAGCTAGCTAAAGCGCTTGCAATAGATTATCAGAGTTGAGTAGTAATGTAAAAAAAAAAAAAATGTAAGAAAAACATATAAAATTATTTTTTTTTAAATTATTTCATAAAAAAAGTAGGGACATGAAACCAAAATATCTACAAAACTTGGAATATTAAGAATAAACTATACTAGCTGACCCGTGCAAATAATTCGCATACAGTGCAGGCCTTAGACATTTGGCGCCATTACGTCATGTTCCTAAAACATTAATTCATTTCTTAAGCTGTATCAAATTAAGTAATATTTGAATTTAATTTCATTCGATTTATCTCTAATTCAGTTGCTGTTTTAAGGTTATTGGTCTGTAAACAAATAACAAAATAATAAGGAAATTAAACTATTCAACACTTCTTAAAGTGATGGAATCATTTCCTGTTTTTCCTGGAATCTTAATCGGCCAAGGAAAAGATAATTATAATAAAAATTCTTTCATGTTTTTGACCAAAATGATTACGAATTACAATGACCTATATCTCAGCTAATGATAGTCCGAATTCGATGAATTGTTCTTTTGTTTTGTAAGAAATTTAGTTATCTTCGAAATAATTATGGCTACCATCAACAAAAAATGTATACTTTTTGAGTTATTCGAAACAAAATGAAGAATGTACTAAGATACAAAAAAAGATACACGTTTGAGAAATAATATAACGGCAGCCACACTGTAATAATAAAATCCTGTAAGGACAATTTTCTTGGAAAGTGAGGTTTCAAGCTTTTCTGAGCAATATTGTTCTGGAACCTATTCTGATCCCACCAAATGAAATTATAGTCTTCTGTAATAACCTGTAAGTTAAAAACTAGCGAATTGAAATGGAATGAAAAATAATTTTATTCTTGGACTGAAGTCCCTTTAGAATAATATTAGAGTTTACAAAATATGTACCTTAGTCTGCAATGTAAGTATTATATAAATATATACAAAAATATCTACACACACACACACACAGATATATACACAAAAATACTAAGAAAAATACAAATATATATAAAAAAATAAATATAAGT